GGGGACAGACATAGAGAAAACCATGAATAATTAGGGGTCTCTCATTGTTCCCTTCTCCATCTTTTAATTTTGCCTAGCTAGGTAGCTTTCCAAGGAAATAACACTTGATGCGTGAATAGTTCTTGCTGGTGCATCTTACAGCTCAAACAACAAAGTTTTCACTGTGACTTGAGAAAAATTGACACTGAAACTAAAACTGGAAACTCAGATGGAACACAGGGACCATCTTCAAGAAGCTCCTATGGGTTAAATGTGTGATGATTTAGCAATAACTTTGAAACAGATTATAATATATTGAGTAGAAAAAGTAATTCCTGTGTTCATAGTGTTATAAGGAAAAGATGAGGAGTGAATGGAAAGAAAATTATCTAATATTTGTATTGGTCATAGTTCACAAGATAGATGGATGGATGGATAGAGAGATAGATAGACAGGTGATGGGTGGATGGCTGTATATATATTTAGAGAGAAGATGGATAGACAATGGATGGATGGATAATGGGTGAATGGATAGCTACATACATACATACATACATACATAGATACCTAGACAGATACATGGATAGACAGATTAGATAGACAGCAGGCAGATAGACAGATAGATAGACAATGGATGTGTGTGTGTGTGTGTGTGTGTGTGTGTATACATAGAAAGAGAGAGAGAGAAAGGGATGATGGATAGACAGGCAGACAATGGATGGATGGACAGAGACAGATAGACAGACAGATAATAGATAGGTGGATGTATAGAGACATAGGTACACAGATACACAGATACCTAGATAAATACATGGATAGATACATTAGATAGACAGATAGATGGACAGATGGATGGATGGATGGATGGATGGATGGATGGATGGATGCATATAGATATACACACACAAGTTGAGGGAAATGCCTGGAGACTTCCGGGTGCTCAGTGGTAGTTGGATATCCTTGTAAATTTCTTATCTTCGTGTCCCCAGTCTTGATGGGGTGTGACATAGATTCTGCAAGTTCAGAGCTAATCAGCCTTGTTTTGCCAACTTTCCAGCAGACCCTCCAGATGACTAACACATGAATATGCATACCTGAGCAGGGATCACACTCGAAGTTTTAAGGTAATAAAGGAGGGAGATAAAAAATGAAGGTCAAGCTTTGTTCTGTTTTTAGTTGCCTATTGGGCATGTGCAGGCCCAAGTGAGGAGTTACTGTTCTTTAGCAAAAACAGCTCTTAAATCCCTGAATGCCACAGAAGACAGTGTGAATTGTGCTCTTAGGAAGTAGCAGGTTAGGGCAGAGGGTTTGTTTGTCCTCTGACCTTGTGGTAGCCTCTGCCTATCAGACTCATTATAAGGTGTCTGTTCTTGATCTTATAGAGACTATTAGCACCACCTCCTACCCTCTGCAAGCTGCAGACCCAGGAAAACCAGTAGAGTAGCTGCAGGGCCTGAGAGCCAGAACTTCACTCACGGGGTCATTATAAAGATTTGACAGTTAGCGTTTGGAAAGCATTCAGAGCAAGGGCTATGGTTTATATAATGCTATTATTTCTATCATAGCCTGTGAATATTGCATGTCTAATGGATCAATACTTAGATAAATATTCATATTTTAAAAGGAACTACAAAATGAAAGAATTTAAACTGCCAAGCAGAAGACAAACTTCAGACATCTTTGAGGTATTCATTCAAGTGGAGGGGAAATTAGGAATTAAAAGGACAAATACATAGAAAATATGCTTAGTATGAGAAAGTCCTTTCTCACTGTACAGAATGTGAGATGTTGGAGTAGATTGCAGTGAAGAGGAGTAAACTCTATGGCCCAGGAAGTTTTGACTTTTACAGGATGATCACTGTGCAAATGTGGAGGGCAGTCAGGGAATGCTCTCCAAACAGCTTTTATGAATTGTGAGCAATCCTCAACACCTCAAAGGACCTTAATCCGTCTTAATGAGCAGACATTAAGCTAAGGCTTTTTCAATAAAATAGCACAAAGTGCTTATTAAATACGGTGAAATATGGCTATTCCATTTCAATCAGGCCAATTTTGCATTGATTGAGGCATTAGATTATGAACATTCTATTGAAAAACAAAGCAACTGAATTTTTCTCCTTTTTTCTTTATGCTATACATTTAGGTAATGAGCAGTCCTGAGGAACTTTTTTAAAATGTGACTCTTTGATTGTGTCATTTCTCAAATGCTTTTATACACCAAGAAAGAAATACACATACGTACCAGTGAACACAACCACTGGCACACAAAAGCACAGAGGTGAAATGAGATAATTAAGAACACAGGTCTTGATTTTTCATTCTGTCTCTGCTCTATGAGGTGTGATTTTAAAAAATGATGAGTGTGTAAATTAAATTTTTTTAAAATTTACTACAGGAAAAGACACATTGCCATCAGTTGCCCTCAAAATAATCCCCTACTCTGAGCACACTTATCCCATCATTTCTGCCACTTTCAAAAATGGTTCTGGAAGTCCTTTTTCTTGAGTGTCTTTTTGTGGCTCTCTTGATGTCCTGAATCAATTCAAACTTTTTATGGCAATTTTTATCAAATCAAAACATGGTGTATCCTCATCCATTTAAATCACCAGATCCTGCACACTGCCACTCCTGGCTCTTCCCCAAAGTCAAAATGACCATGAAAGGGAAACATTTTCCATCAGTTCAGACACTGAGGCAGCCAGGACAGTTCAGCTAAAGACAGTCAAGAAGGAAGCCTCCAGAGCTGCTGCAGAAAGTGTCAAGGATGATGGGGTGAGTGTGTTCAAAGTCAGGAGGAGGATTTTGAGAGATTCATGGCAATGTGTCTTTTACTCTGATCTTTTTAAAATTTAAACATTGACCATAGACTTTGATCATACTTCGTAGGCCAGGTAAATGTGGATAATTCAGAAGTGTTTTCTGAGCCTCAGTTTCCTGCTCTACCAGGTGAAGGTATTATTTTGGTTACTACATCATTCAAAGAAAACGTAGAATGTCCAAAGGCAATGTTTGCTTAGTTTAATTGGGATGAAATTGTTCCCATGAGCCATCTATGTCACAGTCACACCCTATATTTCAGCTTCTCAAGGCTGTCATTTGCCAGCAGGATTGAATCAGAATGGATTCAACCAAAGCTTAAACTCAGAATTTATCAAAGAGAATCTAACTGCCAGGCCTTTTAATGCGTTTGCAAATGTGATTAGGCATTATCCCCTAAAAGTGCAAAGTAGGGACAAATGTCCTTTTCATCTACAAAGTGAGGTACAAACAATATTACAAAATTCTCTGGAGATCTGGACAGCAATTTCAAGTTAACATTAAAGAGAATATTCAAAGCAGGAACTACTGATAGTCAGATCTGGAGATGTTGAAGCAAAACTCTCCACCCACTTTATCCTGAGTTCATTCAAGAATCTGCCAGATGACCATCCTGGGCAGGGTCACAGTCCCTCAAGGATCTTGATGCAAGGTCATTTTTGGTTAAAATTCAATAAAGTTCTGGCTCCCCAAAGCACTTTTAGAGGTTTCTCATGATAAAAAATATGGCTTTCCTTGAATGTATATTTAAATTAAGTTAGAATAATAAGCTATTATATTTAGATATTTTTATTCAAAGCATCTTCATTAAAAAAATTATGGACATATTGAGATTAAAGATATCTTGGACTTGTGTATTTTAGTATTAATTGAGGAAGACATACAATATGTGCAAAAGTAGTTGTGCTCTATGGCCAAAGGATACTGAAATAAATTACATGCTGCTATATAAAGAATACTAGTCTGAACAATAAAAATCCTGAGCCCAGCCTTGATGTCTATGCTACCCCAACTGGCTGGCTAGACTATCTTTTGTTATTGTGGGTTCTGCTTTTATATATATATAATGATGAATTGGAGTAAAATGCTCTGTAAGTTTATTTCAAACCTAAAATTGTATTATTCAATTTTTTTGCAATTTAGTCTTTATTGTATGATGTATAATATTCATATTTATTTTTCACATTTTGCTTAGGACTATTATTTTACACTTTCAAACATAAGGTAGCATCACAGTGTATGAATATAGGACTTGCTTAGGGAGAGAAAGCAAAAAAGAAACAGGGTTTCCCCTACTCTAACTAAAAGAATAAAATTAAACTAAAAGCGCTGGATCCCCTTTTCACCAGAAAGAGTGTTTGTTTCTGGAATTCTCTCTGGCTTCACTCATGCACAGCGCCAGGATTGGGCTTCACCGGATGGAGTCAAACTGGGAGCGGGCTCACCTTGGATTAACCAGCTCTAGAAATTACCAAGATTGACAGCCTAGACACCATGCCAGGCATCTTTTTAAAAACATACTCTTTGAAATAGCTTGAGTGACTTTCTCACCAATCCTTAAATTAAGAGTTCCCAAATGCAGAGCACAGAGTATGGACAGGATGGCGCACAGCTACTTTCAGAAATTGCCCTCTGCCTTCTACTCCTCTGCCTTGCCAACACCCCATTAGAATCCAAACAAGTAAAAGGGAGCCCCGGGGTGCCAACACAGCTCATTGCAGGGGGTCATGAGCCTTTTAGCTTATTGCAAGCTGCCCTTTGCCTTCTTCTCTGTTCCAGAATTATCCTGATGTGCTTTTCAGACTTGGCAACATTCAGCCAGCATTACATACTCCACTAACTATAATGGCATTGAGAATGCCAAAAATCACTTGCCATTTTCCATCTTTCAAAATAGCTGTACACTTAAGACTAATACAGTGAGGTACTAGGTTTGATGGAGACACAGAACATGTTGTTGTTTGGACCTGAAAGGGCCCCCCAAAGACTCATGTTTGGAGGTGGAGATTTTGGAAGGTGATTGGATCATGGGGTGCTGTAGCTGACTTGCTATTAGGAGTTGGGGTCTGATTAGAGGCGGTCACTGGGGCATGACCTGGAAGGGTGCATCTCTCTCCCTGGCTCCTCACTTCTCTCTGCTTCCTGTCTGCCATGACAGGAGCAGCTCTCCTCCGCCAGACCCTCCCACCATACTCTTCCTTCTCTGTAGGCCTAACCACCATGGACTGAATCCTCTAAAATCCATGAACCAAAGTAAACCTCTTCTCTTTTAAGTCATTGATATCAGGTATGAAGTCCCAGCAATGAGAAAATGACTAAGACATAGCAGTTTAGCAGAATATAATAGAAGATATTTCATTTTTTCTGAGCAGATGGGACAGAGAAGAGAGTCTTCCTTTGAAATGTCTTTGGGTGGGTCCTGAAGGATAAAAGTACAATAGACAGAAACAGCTCCTTCATAAAATCAAGTGACTTTTGTAACCTGCAATGGAGCTGGATGGATACAATTTAAATGGGGCAAGATGAGCAAATACAATCCTTTCCACTCTATAAAATAATTCTAAATTTAAAAAGCATCATCTTTGCCAAGCATCACATTGCTCTGAAATTCATGTCCATAGAATATTAAAATGCACTATGTTCCATTTTTCAAAAAGCATTTGTTTATTGATCAGATAATCATATTATGCGTGAGCTGCCAAGCATATATAAATAAGGAAAAAGAAATTGATGATGTGTTATTCATCACTAAGTCCAGAAGACTTAATTTTTAATGTATACCAGTGTTGTGAAAAATAATCTGTGAGATTTACACCTGTCAGTGTGTAACTGTTAGGATTCTCTGAGAAGTCTTCAGACATCAATGAAGCACAGAACACTGGAACATAAAAAAATCTTCAGCCTTGGCCTTGAAGAGATGTCCTAGCCCATTAAATGCTTTTCCGGGCATACAATGGTGATAGACAAAGTAAAGACTAGGAGTAGGGGACTATTTAAAGCACAGCGGTCTGCACATAAATGCTCTCTGGACTACACAATTTATATAAAGAGATAAGCACATTCAAATGGTCTTTTTTGTCATTCATAGCAAAAAAAAAGTTTGCAAATGTGTCAGTGTATCACAGATACAGCAGCAAGTGGGGAGCTGCAGTAAAGTCAGGATGTCAATCTCTGAGATGCCCAGAGTCTGTTGGAAAAGACACAGACAGAAGTAGGCCATGGCGTGGGAAGAGCGTGCCCATCTCTGTAGAATGATTCCAAGGGTTATATCCCTTTCCTGTTTCCATTTGACCAAAAATGTTCACCCTGCTACAGAACCAACCTGAATATTTTTCTAATTTCAATCAACCTTAAATATAGTCAACCTTTCATATTCATGGATTCTGTACCAGCAAATTCAGCTAACTGAAAATTGGAAATATTTTTTTAAAAATCTGTGTGTGTATCAAATGTTTACAGGTATTTTTCTTGTCCTTGTTTCCTAAATAATACAATATGACAGTGATTTACATAGCATTTACATTATATTTCTCATAAGCAACCTGGAGATGATTTAAAGTACACTGAACAAAGTGTATAAAATACATAAAACCACTACAATACTTGATACAGGGGACTTGAACCAAGGATTTTTGTATCTACAGAAATCCTGGGACAAATCTCTGAGAAATTAAAATCAATTCATTTATTTTTTCCTGTAAATATATCTATTCATGTACTATCTTGTTACTTAAATGCATACCTTGAAGTCATATTTTTTAAAATTAATTTTGTTTTTTAACTCTGAAATCTGATTCGTGACATTGTCCATTAAAGCAACAATATTTTCAGTAGTATCAAAATTATGGCATACCAAAGGGTTAATCTAGAAAGAAATATGCAAGACATACATACCAAAACCACAGCTTCCCCAGAATATATTTTTTAAATTCTTGCAAATCAAATATAAGAAATACAACAACTCGATTTTAATGGTTAAAAATTTTGAACAGACACTATCAAAGAAAGTATATGAATACCCAAAAGGCATAAAAAATGTTCAAGAGCAATTACCACTAGGTAAGTGTAATTTGAAATCACAAGGAGACACCATTGTGTCTCTTGGATAGTGAAAATAAAAAGGACTGACTATACCCAGTGCTGGTGAGTATGGAGAGCAACAGAAACTCCCCTATATTTTGATTAATAAGCAAAATGATATTCATGTTAGGAAAAAGTTTGGCAGTTTCTTTAAAAATTAAATATATCTTTTAACCACCCACTCCATCTACTCTAATCTCACCCCCTCTCCTCCTACTTGGTCTCCTTGTACCCTCTGGGTGGCTGCAGAAAAACTAACATCTCCATGGGTCCAGAAGGATCAGAGGTGTGCAGTTCCTGCAGCTCCTATCTCAGCAAGAACCATGGCCACCTCCTCTAGGAGGCAGAGGCAATCAGTTGATTGGAAAATGAAGAGCGTAGCACACAGGATCCAGGAAAGATTCAGGCATCACTTGGGCTGATGTGTCCACGAGAGGGCAAGCAGGGAAGAGCCAGGAGGCAGCAGCCTGGGAAGAAGTGCGTGGGGACACAGGGTGCATCTGGGGACCCCACATCCTCCCTCTTGGTCATGCTCTCTATCAGGCTCAACTCCAATTTCCATTTAAGTTCAGTCTCTGGACACCAACATCCCCATGTTCACATCCCAGCACTGATGGGTCTCACCTGTGAGCCCCCTGGCACAAGACTGATCTCTCAATTTCCCCTCCATTAAAGGAGGACCTTATCTTCTTTAGAGAGTTTTCTAAAGATGGAAGGAGAGAGTGTATGCTAAGCATTGCACAGTTCCTAGACCACAGAAAATTTTCCAGAAAAGGGACCTGTGGTTATTGGGACCGATCCTGACCATTTCCATCTCACTGCCCCTCTCCCTGCTTATTTCCTCATCCGTCTCACCTGGATTATGGTGGCGCCTTTGAACGGGCTTTCCTAATGGTAACTTGGTCTCCCAATGCATCCTGTCCAGTCTGCCAGAAAAGCCTTTGGCAAAATGAAAATCTGATCTGCAACTTGATCCCCTTTTGACACACTTCACGGAGATGAGGAGCATGTCTTGTTCAGTGCTGCGTTGTATTTTCTGTGCCCAGGACAGAGCCTGCTGCACAGGAGTGGGACGTGTGTCCCAGAACACGGGGGCTGATCAAACAGCGGGAGGAGAGACTGACTGAGGTGGCGAGGATGAGCTGGAGGAGCTCCGGCCACGTGACGCCATCGTATCCAGCACCTGCATCCTTTCTGCTTCCTCCTTTTGTATCTTATTTTTCAAATGCTTCTTTCTTTGGCATTCATGCAGAGATCCTCCTGTCTGTGTGGACAGGTTTGTTAATGAAGCAAATACAAAAAGACTGACATAAGATATTTGAAAGATACAAAAGCATGAGTGGTTGAGGAGAAGGGGTGGAGAGTGGGGGCCAGGCGGGTCATTCCAGCAGAGAAAACAGCCTCTATTGGGCATAATGGCATGAGACTGGCTGCAGTTCTGAGAAGCACAGAGGAGAAACAGAAGCCAAACAGATGGGAGCTCTGCCATATTTAGGATCTATGGTGAGAACAGTTGGTCCAGGGGTCAGAAGAGTCCTGGGTTACACTTACTGCTGCCTCTTACTCTGTGAGGTATGACCCAAATATACAGTGAATGTTTACATTGAAAAATGTATTACAGTGAAAGATGCATTGCCAGTAATTCCCCTCAGACTCCTCCCCTCACTCTGAGCACACTCATCCCACCGCCCTCACCACTTCCTGCAGCAGCTCTGGAGTCCTCTGTCCTGAGGGTCTTTACCAGCTGTGATCACAAACACAGTGACTGCTGCTGCTGAGCACCATCCAGCAGAAAGGCAGCTCGTAAACACACGACGCTGTCTCCGCATCCACCTTAGTCACCGGATCTGGCACTGTGTGACTTCCGGCTCTTCCCCAAAGTCAAAATGACCACAAAAGGGAAATGCTTTAAATCCCTCCAAAACATTGAGGAAACAACAGTGCAACTGAAGACCCTCAGGAAAGAGGACTCCAGAGCTGCTGCAGGAAGTGGCAAGGACAATGGGATGAGTGTGTTCAAAGAGAAAGGGAGAATTTTGAGGGAGAGTCACGACAATGTGTCTTTTACTATAACACATTTTTTTAAATTTAAGCATTCTCTGTATTTTTTAAGATAGTTCATATGTTTACTATGCGTGGCATCTGTTAAGTACTATGGCAGGTTTCATTGTGCTTTGTGCCCAGCACTGTCTATAAAATGAATGAAGCACACACATATGGACAACTCATCTCTTATACTTGCCTATTCATAAAATGATGAGTCGATCCCCACCCGACGCTCTCGAAGCTGCAGCAACCGCCCCGTGAGACAAGACAAGCAGCTTGAAGCTCCTGCAGCCGTCCCGGGCCACGCCCACGGCACGGTGAGGTCCGCGGGCGCCTCCAACGCTCATTTCCCTGCCTACCTTCTGGCCTTTCTGCTACCTGGTCCCACACTACAGAGGCACAGGAGATTATAAAGACCCTTGTCCTGAGTGCCACAAGATAGAGCAGAAGTTAGTAACAGAAAGAGGGCTTCTCAGGCTTCTGGAAGAAAACTGAAGCTCAGCAGAAAAGTAAAGAGAACTTCTACAATAAAGGCACATCAGACCACTGTACTTGGTCTGCTGCTGGGCTGCTGAGACTCATTGACTTGTGTATGCACAGGGATTCCTACGTTGCCTACTGGGACAGCAGAGACATATCCTGAAGGAGGCCCATAATTTCTATTACTATTTGCAAAAAAGAAAAAAAATTTTTTTTCTTC